GAAGCGAACGTTCCATCTTTATCCGATCGCCGTGATGCCCATTGCCTTCTCTACTATGTATGCTCTCATGATCTCCGCAATCCTTCCATTTATAGAATGGTCACTGATATTAGTAGACATTATTTGTTCGCCGCCCCTGTTTACTCCATCCCTTCTCTCTTCGCCTTCATTCGCTCTTGTCTTCTCTTCAATTACCACTTTTCTATGTTCATGTAGCATCTCACTTTTCCCTACCCCCCTGGGAAGTTCCAGCTGTTCGAGTCTGTTCTTTCTCTCTCCCTTGCTTGAAAGCCCAACTGTCTATGGTCGCTTCCCGCTCTCTTTTTCTTGACCACTTTCACTCTCATTCTCATGCCATTGCTGTGTACACAGATGGCTCTAAGTCTTCTGACGGTGTAGGATTCACAGCAGTGTTTCCGGACAGCATCGTACGAGGGCATTTACTATCTTCGGCTAGTATTTTTACTGCTGAATTGTATGCCATCCTTGCAGCACTTATTCATATTGCATCTATGCCTGTGTCATCATTTGTGGTTGTCTCAAACTCCCTTAGTGCTTTACAGGCTATACAGAAATTTGATACACCGTATCCAACTTTGGCTACGCCACATCTTTACCAAGCATAAAGATATTGTTTTTTGTTGGGTCCCTGGTCATGTTGACATACAGGGCAATGAACAGGCAGACACTGCTGCACGGTCAGCAGTACATGACCTATTAGTTTTATATAGAGGTATTCCATTTACGGACTATTTTGCTGCAATATCTTCCCACCTTCACACCCGTTGGCAACACCGTTGGTCTACTATGCTCGGCAACAAGCTTCAGTCTATTAAACCAAGTATAGGTTACTGGCCGTCTTCTTATCACCAGTGTCGAGGTTGGGAGACTACTCTCTCCCGTCTTCGCATTGGCCATACTCGTCTTACTCATGGATATCTCATGGAGAGGCACCCTGCTCCTCTCTGTGAGAATTGCCAAGCTCCATTATCAGTCAGCCACATTCTGTTGGACTGCCCACTTTATCAACGAGCACGCAGAATTTACCTCCGTCGTCGTCTTTGCTCCGCTGCTCTCTCTTTACCTTCCCTTCTCGCTGATGGACCCACCTTTCATCCGGACTCTCTCATTGACTTTTTGACAACAACTGACTTCACAAATTCTGATACCTTCAGCCCTTTCTACTTCAATCTCTTGCTGCCCTCTACCCCCGTACTATCCCCTCCCCCGCTGTTTTCTGTAACCTACTGATCATCCCTCCTCCGTTCTGCCATCCAATACCCTCGCTTCCTTCCCTACCCTGCAGCGCTGTATAGCCCTTGTAGCTTAGCGCTTCTTTTTGATTATAATAATAATAATAATAATAATATAATTTCCTCACTAACAGAACACAGAGAGTAGTAGTCAACAGAGTAAAGTCCGAGGCAGCTACGGTGAAAAGCTCTGTTCCACAAGGCACAGTACTTGTTCCTCATCCTCATATCTGACATAGACAAGGATGTCAGCCACAGCACCGTGTCTTCCTTTGCAGATGACACCCGAATCTGCATGACAGTGTCTTCCATTGCAGACACTGCAAGGCTCCAAGTGGACATCAACCAAATCTTTCAGTGGGCTGCAGAAAACAATATGAAGTTTAACGATGAGAAATTTCAATTACTCAGATATGGCAAACACGAGGAAATTAAATCTTCATCAGAGTACAAAACAAATTCTGGCCACAAAATAGAGCGAAACACCAGCGTCAAAGACCTGGGAGTGATCATGTCGGAGGATCTCACCCTCAAGGACCATAACATTGTATCAATCGCATCTGCTAGAAAAATGACAGGATGGATAATGAGAACCTTCAAAACTAGGGAGGCCAAGCCCATGATGACACTCTTCAGGTCACTTGTTCTATCTAGGCTGGAATATTGCTGCACTCTAACAGCACCTTTCAAGGCAGGTGAAATTGCCGACCTAGAAAATGTACAGAGAACTTTCACGGCGCGCATAACGGAGATAAAACACCTCAATTACTGGGAGCGCTTGAGGTTCTAAACCTGTATTCCCTGGAATGCAGGAGGGAGAGATACATGATTATATACACCTGGAAAATCCTAGAGGGACTAGTACCGAACTTGCACACGAAAATCACTCACTACGAAAGCAAAAGACTTGGCAGACGATGCACCATCCCCCCAATGAAAAGCAGGGGTGTTACTAGCACGTTAAGAAAACCATACAATAAGTGTCAGGGGCCCAAGACTGTTCAACTGCCTCCCAGCATACATAAGGGGGATTACCAACAGACCCCTGGCAGTCTTCAAGCTGGCACTGGACAAGCACCTAAAGTCAGTTCCTGATCAGCCGGGCTGTGGCTTGTACGTTGGTTTGCGTGCAGCCAGCAGCAACAGCCTGGTTGATCAGGCGCTGATCCACCAGGAGGCCTGGTCACAGACCGGGCCGCGGGGGCGTTGACCCCCGAAACTCTCTCCAGGTAAACTCCAGGTCAAGGACCATAACATTGTATCAATCGCATCTGCTAGAAAAATGACAGGATGGATAATGAGAACCTTCAAAACTAGGGAGGCCAAGCCCATGATGACACTCTTCAGGTCACTTGTTCTCTCTAGGCTGGAATATTGCTGCACACTAACAGCACCTTTCAAGGCAGGTGAAATTGCTGACCTAGAAAATGTACAGAGAACCTTCACGGCGCGCATAACGGAGATAAAACGCCTCAATTACTGGGAGCGCTTGAGGTTCCTGAACCTGTATTCCCTGGAACGCAGGTGGGAGAGATACATGATTATATACACCTGGAAAATCCTAGAGGGACTAGTACCGAACTTGCACACGAAAATCACTCACTACGAAAGCAAAAGACTTGGCAGACGATGCAACATCCCCCAAATGAAAAGCAGGGGTGTCACTAACACGTTAAGAGACCATACAATAAGTGTCAGGGGCCCGAGACTGTTCAACTGCCTCCCAGCATACATAAGGGGGATTACCAACAGACCCCTGGCAGTCTTCAAGCTGGCACTGGACAAGCACCTAAAGTCGGTTCCTGACCAGCCGGGCTGTGGCTCGTACGTTGGTTTGCGTGCAGCCAACAGTAACAGCCTGGTTGATCAGGCTCTGATCCACCAGGAGGCCTGGTCACAGACCGGGCCGCGGGGGCGTTGACCCCCGGAACTCTCTCCAGGTAAACTCCAGGTAGGCTCAGTAGTGCCCACAATTCGAACATTATCATGCTCATTTAGCAATTTCACTAGTTTAGTTCCATTGGTGTTTGTTATAGACCCACCAATATTCTTATGTCTGGTATTAAAATCTCCAAGAATGAGGGTAGGTTCACTATCGATGCGCTCTGGTAAAGTATCAGGTCGAAGCTGGTTCGCTGGGGCATAGAGATTAAAAATGTTTATGAAAAAATCGCCTGACAGTTGGTTGACCTTAGGTTATAAGCTGCATATCCAGGCAACTTTGACACACACAATGTGTTGGTTAAATTCAGCAATACACTCGACCAGGAAGGTGAAGAGTGGCAACTAATCTACTGCAGACAATTATTTCACTGGAGTGCCCTGATGCTGATAAAAGGGTTCTTGATCCAAGGAATTGGAGCTCCCCTTTCATGCCAGAAGAGATAAGCCGTGTGTGTTCCTGCTCGCTGATAATGTAAAATTAACAAAATAAAAAAAAAATCACATGTAGGGCCAATAATGAGGAAGTGAGCAGACGGGTAACGTTAGTGTAAAACTCTAAGTAAAACTACCATGAATGACAGCCAGTGCGAATTTTCATAAACTTGCTGGAGTCGTATGTGACAGGGTAACAAATATAGAGAGAGCACTGGTTAACTGCATATTATCGGACTGCAAGAAAACATTTGACACGTTATCAAACAGGAAATTTCCCAAAAAATTAGAAGAACAGACAGGAATAACAGGCCCTACCGGCATCAGGAAGTGTCTCGTCAAGCTGGGGGAAGACTGGGAAAACGCTAAGGGTGAACTGCAGAGCTGGTCACATAATTGGCAATTAGAATTCAACTCCTGCAAATGCAAGATAATGAAAATTAGGGAAGAGAAAGGACCGGAAACTGAGTACAGAGACTGCAAACCATTTAAGGAACCTATCATTTATTATCGCATATGCGACATATGTCAGGCTCATAATACTTTATGTAGCACCATCATGGAACCCATAATCTGATAACATGTTAAGAAACTAGAGAAAGTGTATAGTTGTCGGCAGTTATCCACGTCTAGTTTACCGTAGTTATTGGCAGACATACGAGTTAGTCTTGTTGATGGTAACAGTGACCAGTCTGACAATCCTGAAGTTATCAACTTGCAAAGAGACTGATATCGGTAAAGGGGTATGAACTATGAGAAGAAACTGAAAAAAAACTGAACCTGATTATTTTAGTGGATAGAAAGGTCAGGGAAGACATGAATATAACTCAAAACCCACTCTGAGGACTTGATTGGGTGGACATTGAAAAAATGTCAAGAGAAGAAAAATGGAACCAAAGGGAAGGCACACTTGTAAGGTAGACACGAATGAACCACAGGGATGTTAGTACTGTACATCATCCTCAGAGTGGTCAAGAAATGTAATGACATGGAAAATATTTTGTAAATGTAATTAACAGTGTGTGATATGTATAAGTGAAAATTCTTAGAACAAAACTGAATTAATAGCTTTGCTTGGGAACCCCTCAAGGGAGGTTCCTTGACGCTGGTGAGGGGCTCTTGATCTAGGGAATTGGATCTGTGCTCCAGTTCCCTGAATTGAGCCTGAATGCCTCCCATCCCCCCCCCCACATGCTCTGTATAATCCTCCGGGTTTAGCGCTTTTCCCTGATGATGATAATTTGCTTGGGGAACGGAACACTTACTGTTTCCCCACAGGTACAAATATACTGTCTTATTACACACCACGATAAACATTCTCTGATCTCTCACGGCTTGCCACCTGAATGCATCACTTCCTTACTCCCGCAGGTGACAAACATGAGGTCAAAGTTTGTCCTCCCTGCCGACTCTGAGGAGGTTGTTAGCAGGCAGCGCCAGCAGCAGCAGCAGCAGCAGCAGCAGCAAGAAGATGACAATATCATTAAGGATGACGAGGACACAGAAGCACCAGGGGATCTCCTCTACGGTGTGGAAGACATTCCTCCTTGGTACAGTTGTCTCTTCTTCGGGTTCCAGGTGGGTGTTTATTTTTTGTATTTTTTCTCTTAAATAGTATGACTGATATAATAACAATAAAATCAAATTAAGCGCTAAATCCGAGATGATCATGTGACTGATTTAAGCTCTTGCCGTACAGAACCGCCAAAGGCAAAAGAACTCTTTACCTTTGAGTTTCGAGTCTACTACTGGAGCCCGGCCATGGGCCAAGCTCATCTGGTGTTAGCCTGGTCAACCAGGCTGTTGCTGCTGGAGACCCATTGCCCCACATATCCATCACAGCCTGGTTGATCAGACACCTTATGAAGATAATTATCCAGTTTCCTCTTTGAAAAATTCTACATGTGTTCCAGCAGTGTTTCTGATATCTTCTGGTAAGATATTGAATAATCTGGTGCCACGGATGTTGATACAGTGTTCCCGTATTGTGCCCACCGCACCCCTGCTTTTCACTAGGCGTATTTTGCACTTCCTACTTTGTAACTTGCGACTTCATTACCTTTGTACCTTGTTCAGCTGTCAGAACTTTGGGGCAAAGTCCCTGGACCCATTATGTACCTCTAATCAAATAAAAACGTGGTTATAAATGACCATAATTTTTAAAGGGGTGGACCGGTAAGCCAGCGGAAGGCCTCGGTCAGATGACCAAAGCTCCGAAGGCGGGTCATTATCTGACTAAGACCCGCGTCAGGAAACATTTGTCTTGTTTCCTGACGAACCTTACCTAACCTAACCTCTGTAATCTTTTGACTACCGCCCACAGGATGGGTATGGTGTGCATAATAAAGATATTAACCTGACTCCCACATTTCTCGCTCCAATATGTTATGACAGTGTGCAGAGTTGGGACCAGGCCCTTGAATACTTTCCAGGTATTTGTCATGTATTTCTCCTTTGCTCCAGTGAGTACATATTTAAGACTTTAAGGCGTTCCTGGTAATTTAAATATTTTATTGGCTCTGTGCGGGCCGTAAATGATCTCTGTATTTGGCAATATAAACACAAATGCAGTATAATGTGATCCTTTATTGACTACGTTTCGCCCACACAGTGGGCTTTTTCAAGTCACAAACAGAACTACCTGGGGTGGAAGGAACGCGAGTATTTATAGTCCGGCTGAGGTCAGGTGAAGAATGCTGCATCTGATGATGTACCGAGTGGGGTTATAGAGTCTAAAAACTTGGGTAGCTTAGAAAGGAGATTGGATAAGTTTGTGAGCAGACCTTCTACAGTGTTCTTATGTGGGATACCGATGAAGTTTCTTGGCAAGTGGTTCAGCTATGTTATAGAAGCCACTATTCTGGTTGAAGTTGTCGGATATAGAAATAAGTGATGATTCCAGGATTCTTCGGTATTGAGTGTTGTCTTCTGTGGCGATAAGTCTTGAGTTTCTGTAGTTTATCAAGTGGTTGTGTGAATTACGGTGTTGTACGCAGGCATTCCTTGTGTCGTCAGATCTGCTTGCGTATTGGTGTTCTGAAATACGTGTTTGGAGGTCCCTTGATGTTTCGCCCACGTATAACTTGTTGCAGTCATTACAAGGGATTATGTATACCCCTGCAGAGGATGGAGGCTTGTCCTGCCTACTACTTGTGATGTCCTTGATGGTCGTGGAGTTATGAGGAGAATGTCGTCAACATAACGGAGCCAGGTGACAGACGAAGGAATAATGGTGGAGAAACGTTCGGCTTCTAGATGTTCCATGTATAGGTTCGCCAGGACTGCACTGAGTGGCGAACCCATGGGTAGTCCAAAAGTCTGCTGAAAGAGGTGATTTTCGAAAGAGAAACACGTAAAGCCAACACATAGTTCAACAAGGTCGATGAAATCGCTGGCTGGAATGGGAAGATCAAGTGAATCGTCAATTTTCCTGCGCAAGAGATCGATGGCTTGTGTAGTAGGTACTTTGGTGAATAGGGAAGTCACGTCAAGGCTGGAAAGTTTCTTGTTCCTGATGTTGATGTTGCGAATGCGATTGAGAAGATCACCTGAGTGTTTGAGATGTGCTGGACTGGCTCCGTTATGTTGACGACATTCTCCTCATAACTCCTAAACGCTTCAACGTTCAAGCTCTCCAAGACAAGCTCAACCAGGTCGAACCTTCAATCCAGTTCACACTTGAAGAAGTCGACAACACTCTTCCTTTCCTTGATGTCCTGCTCTGCAAAGCTGACCACGAACTTCGTTTTAAAGTCTATCGAAAACCCACCAACCAAAACGATCTTCTCCACTTCTACTCTCACCACGACACCAAAACCAAACGTGGTGTAATTATAGGCTTCTTCCTGCGTGCACTCAGAATCTGCAGCAACGAGTTCCTTGAGGAAGAATGCACTATAATTTGAACAAATATTTTCTAAACTCCACTATCCTCGTCACTTCATCAGAGACTGCAGACGGCGAGCATTAAACATCTTCAACACACCCAGAGAAGACACTGCCGAGAAGAGATACATAGTCCTTCCCACCAACTCCATTGCCAAACATGTTTCCAACATCTTTGCCAAAACATCATTCCAAGTATCTACCTCCACAACCACGACCATCAAGGACATCACAAGTAGTAGGCAGGACAAGCCTCCATCCTCTGCAGGGGTATACATAATCCCTTGTAATGACTGCAACAAGTTATACGAGGGCGAAACATCAAGGGACCTCCAAACACGTATTTCAGAACACCAATACGCAAGCAGATCTGACGACACAAGGAATGCCTGCGTACAACACCGTAATTCACACAACCACTTGATAAACTACAGAAACTCAAGACTTATCGCCACAGAAGACAACACTCAATACCGAAGAATCCTGGAATCATCACTTATTTCTATATCCGACAACTTCAACCAGAATAGTGGCTTCTATAACATAGCTGAACCACTTGCCAAGAAACTTCTTCATCGGTATCCCACATAAGAACACTGTAGAAGGTCTGCTCACAAACTTATCCAATCTCCTTTCTAAGCTACCCAAGTTTTTAGACTCTATAACCCCACTCGTACATCATCAGATGCAGCATTCTTCACCTGACCTCAGCCGGACTATAAATACTCGCGTTCCTTCCACCCCAGGTAGTTCTGTTTGTGACTTGAAAAAGCCCACTGTGGGGCGAAACGTAGTCAAAAAAGGGATCCTTTACTGATTTTTTTTATTCCCATTTGTGGGTATTTTTACCATTTATTTCCATCTCGTATTTGTTCCAGTCTGCTTGCCCCTGGCGAAATTATAACAAAAAGGCCCATATACATAAGACTGTGATGACGAAAAGTAAAATCAGGTCGTCCCATAAAAGCTAAAAGAGGTGTCCCCTTTCAAATGGGATGTTTTGATTCTGGTAGGGGTTTTGATCCAAAAATTTAAAACTGCCTTCCCTTTTTTTGGGAAAAAAATGATTCCCTCCTTTTCCCCAAAAATGTAGAACTCATGATTTACTCCCCCCATAAATAAAAAGGGGATTTAACGGAGATTAAGGTATCCCAGATAGTTGAAGGACGTAGTTCCTACAGCATGGGCTCCCAAGTTTTTTTCAGGCCATTCCACACATTTGCCAGAAAATCTATGATTCCGCAGTTTCCCCCACACTGAATTTTCATGTATCTATGGTTTTTTACACAAGGTTAAATTAAACAAACTTTAGCAATAGCGATTTTATGAGTAATAACACTCAGAGGTAACACTGAAAAAAATGTATGACTAAGAATATGGAAATTAATTCAGAGATATTAGAAATCACTTGACATTTCAAACACAAATTACAACAACTGCAACACTATTTTTTATTTATTTATTTATTTATTTATTTATTTTTTTTACAATTTGAGCACAAAACAGAGGTAAAAAAAAAAATACGATAAGAGCAGCTGTCAAACCCACTTTACTAAGCAAGTTACGGGGTTTAAAAATTAACTTAAGATTAACAAAAATGTGAAATCAGTGAAAAAACATTAATAAAAACAATTACTAAAAAGCACAAGTGAGTATTAAAAAGACGGGTCATTGGTTGCTGCTTGTTGTACATTCAGTCTATAAAGTATTCTGTTAGGTATTTTTTAAAAAAAAATAAAAAAGTTAATTCTTTTTTAGGTTTTAAAATTTATGTGATAAATTGTGAGAAAATTTAAGATATACAATTTATAAGGTTCAGTTTTTCATATTTTTTTTGGTTTTGGGTGAAAGTGGTCTTTTAGAAGAGACTTGAATTTAAAACAGGTAGGGTTTTTTTTATATTTTGAGGTAATGAATTCCCGTTTTAGGGCCCCTTTTATTTTCATTGGTTTTTGCATAGCGTGGATGGACACGGGAACAACAAAGGTGATCTGTGCCTTGTTTATGGGCATGGTTTGTTGATTGGCAAGGAGATGTTTTAGGGAGGGTTTTAAAATCAGAGTTAAGTGTTCTTGATGTAATAGGTGCAGAATAATATGGATGCTTTTGTATGGTGAGTAGGTTTAGTGTATTGAAATTGGAGTGTGCTGCCTGTAGTGAGAATTTGTTACATTTTAACTGCAGCCTTTTGTTGGGTAAAATTTGTGGTCTGAGATGGGTTTAATTGTTGTTGAGCCCCCTGCCAAATTCCATGTGAGATAGGGGTAAAAAAGGATGATATAGGGCCAGGAGGGCTGACTGTGGAACATAGTCCCCATTTCGATAGTATCCCACGTCTTGGAAATTCTTGAAATTTTTTGTATATGTGTAGAAATTAGTTATTTTCAAAATGGATTCCAAATTTTTCCCCCTTTTTGCTTTGTGATAGGGGATCCGTTTATAATTTTGTTAAGGGGACTCTGTACTCGTTACCAAACTGAATGAAGAGGTTTTTTTCAAAAGTTTGTTATCCTCATCCAGGTAATATTTTCTGTAATTCGGGATTACAGTAGGCTAGCGTACTGGGCTGGGGAGAGAAACGATTATGTCACGCAAAAGGTGGGTTTGAGTAATTGCGAAGATTTGGGAAAGGGCATTTTTATGGAGAAAGAGAAGAGGGGGAAGGACACTTCCCTGTGGGAACCAACTGTAAG